GCTATACTTCTATATTGACACAAATATCAAGAGATGTTACTTGTAATAAATATATCTAAGGAGACTAAGCTAAGTAAAATAAAGAGAACTTTGCAAGCATTGGACAGGTGGCCAATGACAATGTTAAATTAAGAGTCTTCCCTTCTGGAGTCTAAGCCAGCATTCCATCTGTGTCATCCAATTCAGTTTTAGATAAATTCAATTTATTCTCTATGACTAGGAATAAGAAAACTCTGTTCTTCCTTCTTCTTACTTAGGAAATAGGAATAACAATGCTATAGGGATTAAAATAATGGAAAAAAACACCACAGCTGATATATATATATATATATATATATATATATATATATATAATATATATATATATTATACATATATATGTATCCTATGTATCATATATATGACATATATCTTTTTAAAAAGTCATCAATTGTTATGATTATAATGACATAATTAATGTGATAAATATAATGTAATCATTTTACCAACTTCCATGAAACACAAGAAAGGATAAAAAAATCATTATTAAATGAATCACGTACCAGGGGTATCTGAGGTAGGCTTCAAAGGTTGCACAAAATTGAACCACTGGGCCCGTTTGATGAGTGAGCTTTAGACAAGGAAAGCGGGGCATTTCAGAAAAACCAAGTTGTTCCCGGAATAATGCAACACCAAAGAGTTAAGATATCACTATGTCAGAAATCTTAAAATATCAGGCTAAATATTACAAGCTCAGTACCTGTAATTTCTGTCATTTTTCTTACTAGACAAACTGAAAATCAACAGGTGCCCAGCCAACTTCCCCATTCCAGTAAGGTTTATCACAGCCATTTACAAAAAGTCTGTGACAGCCATTTAGAAAAAGCCTATAAAGTTTTGCCAGAATTCTTTACTCAAGTGAGTAATTAGTCCTTGACTCAGAAAGGAGTAGGTCACAGTATATTTGTTTGTGTTTCTAACGATAGACATAATGTGTAAACAGATACGTACCTGAAAAGAAAGGGGAGAGATTTACACTATGCTAGTCAGTATAAACCACTAATATGACTAATAGTTCAGCATAGTGTCAAGATTGCTTTAGTCAAACCTCTCTCATCCACCAGGCAAAAAATATATACTCCAGCAAACACTGATCCGATGAAGGCTAAATGTACTATTGATTGCTAAAATTCATGGAAGGAGGGTTATATTATTACTAGCAAGTAATTAACATTCTAAGTGAAATGGAGAATAACATGTTTGCATAACACTTATTTACAATTTCTGGGTTTATTCTCACATCAAATAAATACAAAATATGTGTACTTTTATGGTCAGTGAAATTGTTGTCACCAAAAGGCCATTTCCTATCACAATTTTAGGGCTAATCTGTAACTAGAACTACAGCTTGGTATTGTTGTGATTTTAAAAATGAGATTATTTTAGCCCCTGTAGTTATTGTAGTGAAACATATTGAATCATCACTCACAATAAGAATATACTGTGTTTCTTAATAATTGCTTTTGTCTGTTCACATGTTCACCTATACTACTGGACCATAGCAAAAGTTTTGTTTTTTTCTTTAAATTTATAGCCAAATGTTTAAAAAGCACTGTTTGGTAGAAAATCCCTAGGCTTTGGCATCTAGTAGGCCTGAATCTGAATGTTTTTTGCTGTTGCTATTATCTAATAACTCTCTCCAACAAGAGCCCAGCTCTTATATGCTATTTGAGAGACCAAACAAGATAAGCTTTTTCCCAAATACAAACTCTCCTTTATGGTTATACTGGGAACTTTTTTACTGACAAGAAAACTACTACGTAAATAATGGTTTGATGTGAGAAAAAGGAACTCCACTGATTTAACCAATATTTGTCTTTACTTAGACAAAACCCCATAATTTTCCCCAACACTCAGGAAAGAGATTTGTGATAGCAGGTACTCAATGAATACTTGGATTACAACAATAATTGAGTGAATAAAAGACTAAATAAACCAATAAATGACCAATTTCTGGGAGGGACTAAGAACATGGAGATGAATAAACTCTCCTCTTTAAGAAAATTAGTATTGTGTTATTAGTGATTTATGTTTATTACAAATATTTATCTAGTATTCAGTATTTTCCACATACCTTGCTAGGTATCACAGTAAACAAAACAAACAAATTTGTTCTATAAAAGTGGTATATTATAATATAATATGTAATATTATATTATAATATAATATAATATAATTACATATAATTATAGTATGTAATATATGTAATATGATTATAATATAATATAATTACATATAATATATGTAATATAAAGGTATATTACACAAGTCATACAAATAGCTATAGAATTGAAATCATGTTAAGTGCCACAAAATACCAGTATCATGAAATCATACAATAATAGGGTGAATTTTACCTGAAGAAGAAAGTAAATCAAGACTCAACAAATCAAGGAAAGAAAATAACTTTGTAAGAAAGCAGTAAGTCTTTTTATTTAAAGAGAAAAAAGAAAGGACATAAAAAAAAACAAAGCAGTAAATGGGTACAAGTAATACAGAATTTCAAGAAAAAATATACAGTAAGAAATCACTAGTTAATAGGTTGCATATTGTCTTCTTAGAAACAGCTGTCCAAATTATAAAATTAAAGAATATAAAGTGGACATTCATACAGTGATATTGGAGACAGTTCCGTTCAATGATCCAACAAAAGCTCACTAATATGATTTTCCATCCTACACACTCAAACATACCTAAAGCAGTAAGTCTTAAATGTTAAGAGGCTTTTGTCTTCTGTCCTATTAGGGAAGAACAAGGAAATTGTCACTGTAGCTTGGTAGATCTACAAGGAGGAAGCTGGGAGGTGAGAACACCAGACACAGAAAAGAGTCAAGTCATGCAGAACCCTAACCAAACCCACCCTGTGGATTCTGAACAATGAAAACCGGAGAGTGACATGGTGATATTTGCATTTCATAAGATCATTTGAGTGTCCTAAGAACAGGGATTGAAGAAAAATAAAAGGTGTTGGAAAACTATTAAAGCAATGTAGGGAAATCAAAGAGGAAATGCTTATGTGGCACCATGTTAGACGTAAGTGCAAAAGAGAACTTGAAAACCCTGAAGCGTACAAGCCAGTGCATCGCAGGGCGAAAGGGACGCATCAAAGTGCGCACCTAGGATTTGCCTTCAAGAGTCAACGAGAGAGAAAAGAGGCAGCATGGAAAATGAAAAGAAATACTGATGGTGGTGAATGATCAAAACAGTGCTATGTAACACTTCAGATTTCAGGTGCCTGCAGGATGTATGAGTGAAGTGTCACGAAAGGCCTTCATTCCTCTCCCAAGTTTGTCCTGTAGTGAAAAACAAAGCTTCACTGTCTCTAGCCTTGCTCTTTTCTTGTCTCATCTTCTACTTTTTCTCTGTTGCTTGGCTACAGTCAGAATGGCATCCTAGATGTTCCCTGAGTATCTCAGGCTTCCTTCTCCTCGGCACCTTCAATTTGCCCTTCTCTCGGGAATACACATCCTCAGGTGTTCCCGTGGCTCCATTCCTCACTTCCTTCTCCTTGGATGTCACTTAATCAATAACTTCTCTGATTTATCTACCTTAAACCTCTCCCAAGTCTGCCCTTTTCTGTCCTTTGTGTCATACTATTTTTCATAATGTGACATTGTAAAATCATTTATCATATTTCTTATTTGGCTCCTTTAACCAAAATGCAGCAGCCCCACAAAGATACGGGCTTTGTCATTTTTATGCCAGAATCTAGCTCAGATCTGAGTCTTTATCCTGTGGAGGAGCTGGTGGATCAGCCTGCCCCATTTTAATGGATGCTGGCTGAAGACACCGACCCTGGATAGAGACAAGGGATTCAATTATTCCATAGCCCTTGCCAGAATATCAGAATTTATTCCAGTTCCTCAAACTCCAGTTTCCACAAGACAGTGTGAAGAAGGCCACAGGGTAGTTGCACAGAAAATGCGTAGTTACCAGAAAAAGAGGTCAAAGTTTACAAACGTCCCAGATCTTTCTGAAAAGGCAATAAACCCACACTAGTTTTGTCCTGGAAAAAGTTATTTTTATTATGGTAGACACTAAAGACAAACTCTCCTCTTTACACTACATGAAAATCTATCACGTTGTCTAAGTCCATTAGTTACATAAACACCTGGGAAAAGCTAATCTGACATGCTCCTGGATACCTCTCCTCACAATGCCTGCCGAAATGGGAGACAGAATGGAGAATTCTGTCCTATCAGTTCATACCAGATACTCAGCACACAGCTTTGAATGAAATATCAAATCTTGTTTGCTGTTTCTTTTACAAAAGCATTTTTTCAATTTTTACTCTTTATCTGTACATAGTTGCAATGCACAGTAATTATATTCCTTGTAGGAAGTTTATACATATATGTAACACATTTTAATTCTTTTTTTTTTCATCTGTTACCCTCCCTCTCTTCTCCCTCCATCCCTGGGTCCCCTTCCCTTTTGCAAAAGGTCTATCTCTTTGTTTCCTATTGTCTACTTTTCATTTTACTGTTTATGCTTTGAGTTTCTCATGTAAGAGAAACCATGTAATGTTTAAACTTGTATGTCTGATTCATTTCACTTAAAGTTATGATCTCAAGGCACATCCCTTTTCCTATGAATGGCTTTCGTCTATCCCTTATGGCCGAGTAGTACCCTCGTGCCCTGGAACACACTTGCTAGAACCACGTTCCTGGACAACTGATATACTCAGGCACATCCATAACTGTAGAGTACATGGGATCTTTAAGCTCCTCTTACAGATGAGATAACTAGGGCTCAAGAAGAGAAAGACTGTCTTACAATCAAAGAGCAAAGTTAAAGATCCAACTAACTAGCTCAACTGCAGGACTTTTCCTGATAGGGTTTGAGGCCCACACACTCTGTTCACCTTTGTCACTCAGGTGGCATCTGTCAACTCCAGAAGCTAGGTCATCACACAGAGTCAATCAATAACTAAGGGCACCTGTGACACAGTGCAGCAGGAGGAGCCTCTGTTGCCACCTACTTATATGACCGTCTAGTCCCAGGCTTCACAAGAGGAGCTGTAAATTCAGTATAGTTTTCACTGACTTCTGGATACAGAGCTTCAGCCATGAAGGTAACAGGCATCTTTCTTCTCAGTGTCTTGGCCTTGCTCATGTTATCTGGTAAGTATCTTTACATATGTTTCAACTTTGAGCAAAACTTTTTCACCATTTGTTTTGCTAAACTCACTATCTTCTGAAAATTTATTGTAGTCTAGTATTAGCTGAGACTAACTAGCCTTAGTTTGTCTTTTGTTCCCAGTGAAATGAAATAAAATAAATAGATGAAAATTATAGAATGCAGAATTTTTCCCATAAACTGACAAAAACAATTCTAGTAAGAATGTTCTGAAGATAGAAATGTTTCTATCAGGATGATCCTTTGTCAAAGATAGGGCAGAGAAAAGAAATTGGGAATAGATCAGTCTTAAATACTGTTCTAGAGCTTGCTTCTACAGTACATATGCTAAAATTAAATACCATTCTAATACTATAGATGCCTTCAGCCTATTTACAAATTTTGTGTTCTCACAGATTTGTGTAACACTGACAATAGAGGCATAGCAACAAGTTATATTCAGTATAAGAAGGATAGTTTATTTGATTAAAATGTTTTATTTCTCATCTCCAAAATGTTTCAAGAGATACTTGCCTACCACTTGAATCATGGTGTGCCCAAGTTCCCAGATTGCATCTGGGGAATGTTGGGAGGCAGTTCTGAACCCAAAAGATTCAGATCAGTTTTCTTTTTATCATTAGAAGTAATTAACATTTTCAACCTGATCTTCAACTAGTAGAAGTTTCTGGGGTTTTTGTTGTTGTTTGTGGGTTTTTTTTTTTTTTTTTTTTTTGGTAGTAGTGCAAGTTATTGAAAGCCTACTCAGCACTTTGCTGAGAAGAGTATCTTTTGTTGTACTTGCTAAATATTTATGGAAGGAGAAGTCCCTTTTCTACACCTCATGAATATTAATTAATACAAATAGATGTTTGTGGTGAGAACCTGATCATCAATTTTGGGAGTTATTTAGTTTCTGAAACCCAGTGGGACCCACAACAACATCAGGTTCTGACTATTACAGGCAATCTTCACACCCTCAGAGACTGCGGGTATCAAAATTAAATCTCACCAACATTTCCCCCTTGGGGTGCTACCAGATCAAATTCCTTTCCCTTCAGTGAACACATTCAATTACCCCCACCTGCTCACAATGGCAGCAGGGACCGCCGTGTCTATTTTGATTATTTGTAAATTTAAGAACTGTGACTGGACCTATGGTTACTCAGTGTCTTATAACCATGGGAAAAAGCTCTTTGAAAACTGATGGTGAGCTGGCAAAAACTTCTCTTATAAACATTACCCACAAAAGGGGACTTGCATGCAATTGCATCAGAAAACCTACTTGTTGCTAGTAATAACTCTTTCACAGCCAATTAAATAAACACTCCATCCCTTCATCTTTAAGTTGAGATCAAGATACCTTTACTACACTAAAGTGAAATCAAAGATCTAGGGACTGGGTAAGGAAGCGTCCCTTCATAGCCCTTCAAAAGACTAGCTCAGAGCCTGACATATTTGATGTAGTACATAATAGTTTAAATTTTCACTGAAATGAAACAATTTCTCTGATACACCAAATTAAGGTACTTGGTTATAATCAAACGTTTACCTAATTTTTGAAAAGATGTCAGTAGGCAGAGAATGGACAGAAATCACTCAGATGCCCTTTAAAAGTGGACAGAAATAAGAGTTGGGCAGGTTGGAGGGACCAGCAAAGAAGTCACAGTCTTCTATGGAAGCAGAACGATTCTGGGAAGAGTAGCTACGTTCTCCCCCACTCAGGATCCAATTTAACACATCTGGTTTGTGTTTTCTAGGTAATACTACAGCTTCTGTTGAAAGACAGGTAAACAGAATTGTATTGTTTCCTATTTCTCAGGCCAAAACAGTTTGATCCAACCAAAGTGCCGTTCCGCAGTCACCTTTCAGCGTGGTCTGAAGTCAGGATGGGCAGTGTGAAACCTAGGGAGGTTTAAGCTGGTAAATGCAGCTAGCAATAGCAATCTCCCTTGCCCTCCTGGTTCTGTGTTGATGGTCAAATATTTTGATATATGGATGACTTATGTGTAGTTGTCTAACGCTTGAGAGGAGAGAGACAGTTGTGAGGATGTCAGTCGTGACAGTGTCATTGAGTTTATGTGCACTAGAAACTGGCTAGCAAGAGGACTACTGTGGGTAAAAGCTTTCTCAAATCCAGTCCCCCCTTCTACCCAATCTCATCAGGCTCCCATAAAGCCCCTAATTACCTGTACGTGGCTTTTACAATGGTCAGCAGAAAATAGTAAACTAACTTCATCCTGTAGAAAAATACTCCAAACATAACTTTTCAGAAGTTAATTTTAGTACACTTAGAGATCAGAAGAATAAATGTCTCTCATTACTCTCCTGTCAAAGGGGAGGGAGCTCACAAAGCAAAAGTTCGTAGCGAATAGCTTTTTACGTTGTGAAAAGTATTACGCAGATCTAGCTCCATTAGAAACTTAGTATAGCTTGAGAGATGAGGGAAGGTGCTCCCAAGAGAATCGGTTGTCTTGAACCATGAAGGATAAGAGAAGCACAAAGCCTTGCTGGCGGGAAGACTACACTAGTCATGAGATGATTACTAGCTATTACTGGAGTAGAGGATACAAAATATAAAGTTTCCAAGAATGGAAAACACCAAATGTCTTTACCCTCTCGAGGAAAGTCCAGGGTGACTGGGCCACCTTGTGCAAGGATGAACATGCCCCACGTGGCCATCAACCTGAGAGACACCAGCTCCTGCGGCAATGCCAACACAAATGTCAGTCCATTTATCTTATGCAACTTTCCCAATACCACTGTCACATGGAGGGAAGGGTGACAATACCATTCCCATTTTGCAGACAAGGTGCCTTACCCATGTCGCACGGTTTGTGAATAGCAGTATTACCTAAATTCAGATTTTTCTAACGCTGACCCTTAGACAGTTTATCTTTGAACATTTCATATGATTCTCTCCATGTCCCTTCCCAGAGATATTACAACCACTTTAGATATTTTGCTATGAAGTCAAAGAACAGGGCATGATGTAAAGTTGTTATTTTATTCCCATTTTTAGGCTAACTGCGATCATACAAGGCTTGGGTGTCCCAGGATCTACAGTCCTGTCTGTGGCACTGATGGCATTAGTTATAGCAATGAGTGTCTACTCTGTGTTGAAAACAGGTAAGTACAAACTTTAAATCTGTAAATATAGTTTAAATATATTGTCATGAAACATTTATATCTTATCTCCAATCAGTATACCAATAACGTGAATCTTACAAAGAAAGAAACAAAATAACTTTTTTCTTTTCATATCTATTATATGAAAATATGACTTAAAGTCACTTATATGATAAAAACACACAATTTTAAAGTAGTCTGGATTTTTTTAAAGCCTATAAACACAAAATATTGCATATTTTAAAACACAACTCGTGGTGATAGCGGTGACTTTTTTCAGTCCTGGGAATTGAACCCAGGGATTTGTGCTGACCTATATTTTCAGATTAGCCATTTGGTTTTGCTTTGTTTTGTGAAAAAGTCTCAGTGAATCGTTAAGTTCCAAGGGCTGCATGCAAATTTGTGGTCTTCTTCCCTCAGCCTCCCAGCATGTTGGAGTTAACAGTGTGGACCACCAAGCCTGGCTAGTGATTTTTGTCCTGTAAAGCACCCTAGTATGCAAAGACAAATTTCACAGATTTGCATGATCAAAAACATACTTTTGTAACAGTGAATTTCCATTTTGTGAAGTGGCCATAAATAAATCAAGAGAATCCATCCCATGGAACACAGAGAAACAAACCTGCCACAGATTTTCTATTTTACTAAAGAAATCTGCTTACCATGTGCGGAGCTTTATGTTAGTTACCCCTGCTTCCTCTCTGATATGACTGAGAGAAAATAGATTATGAGCACATATGAGGTAACTACTTGTTGCAAATGCCAGCAAACAAGAGGTGAGTATTTCAGGAGTGGAGAGAGCAGGAGAGGAGCTGAGAGGTCAAGAGAGGCTCTAAATTTGGTAGAATCTAAAAAGAAACATTCCAGGATAAGTAAGAGTGTGAACCTATCAAAACAAATCAAATAAATCCCACAAATGACCTAGAAAATACTCAGTTATCCTAGGGTTGACTTGATATGAAAGATCTCGACTTAGGTTCAAATGACTTTATAAATTCCATTATTGCCCAGTGTAAATTCCCTTCTTCCTTCTCAGACTACTTTAAAACATCTCAGAAAACACTCAGAGTTTGAAAGGATTGTAGAAATTGGTTTCCAGGGTAAAAGACTCACGATCTGAAATTTTAAGCCCCAGACACTAGGTATTCTGATTTGTGGAAGATCTGTTTCGACAATAAGAACTTTTAAAAGGAATTTGAAACCACTTGTTAAGTTTCTCATGACTCATGTTGTTGACATTAAGATCAAACATCATACTGCTTTCCAAGTATGGGGAAAGCAATAAAAATACTTTGACTCTGGGAAAGTTTCCAAGTTTCCAAGTATCTGGATCAAAAGGCCCAATGTTTAGAGGGAAACACTGGCGCAGTCTGAGCAGAGGACTAGGATGCCGTAACTTCGGCCTTTGAAACCCATCAGGTCCAGCTTGGTCTCTGTTCTTTCAAACACAGTAAATTTGGGAGGAACACTTGGCTGCCAGATGTACACCCGTACCTGTATTTCCCAGATAAGAAAGCTTAGGTCAGCAAACAAATACGATATACACAACATATTTCTTAATGTACTATATAGCACTTTCATTTTTATCACTCATTAAAAGTTCCAAACAAATCCTTTGCACAGTAACTACAACCATGCTCTGACCCGACTTGTCAGAGGTTGAGATTCGCAGACATCAAACAAGTGCTTCCATACAGTAGTCACCTCAGTCATTATGTTTTTGGCAGTTAGCATCAATGAGAACTTTTATTTCTTGTGTGTCTGCTGAGCGGATCTGTATTGGCAAATTGTTTTCTATAAATGAGTGTAACAGCTTTCTGTAATGATAAATAGCTTTATAGGCTCTGCTGTCCAATAAATAGCCACTACTCACAAGGCACTAGCAATTAATACTTACATGTGGCTGGAAGAACTAGGAAATTGAGTTTTTAATATCACTTAACTTTTAATTTAAGTTTAAGGAGAAAAATACATATGCTGAACATACCGAATTATAGTGAACTGCATTGTTATGAAAAATAAGTCAGACTCACGTGGTCTGCTTAGACATTGATGCCTACTGTACACCTGATTTGAAAATTGGTAGCAGGAGTACTTAATGATTATGGGACAAGAAAACTAAGCTCACTTGAAATGAATCAATGAGGTTCAAAAACTTTAAGAATATCAGATATTCCTTAGAGAGAGAAAGACAAATTTATGCAAGCTAGTATTTTCAAGGAAAGAATGGCTAGTGAAGAGAAAAGATTTGTAAACAGTTTATTAAGAACACTTGCACGACTTAGGGATCTTTAGCTTACAGAACAATGGAGAGGATTTTGTTTTCTGGAGATGAGGATGCTCAGAACGATCAGTACCACCTGGGTTGGAGATAAAATTTCCTTTTGCAAGACTTCGGTCCTCTGTCTAAATGGACATGGCAATCAATTAGTAGGCTTAGCAGTAACCCAAGGAACCACTAGAGGAGTAGCCATCAGGAATAAATGGAGCAACAAAAGACTTTAGATTAATTCCAGAGGTTCACTATAACACCTTCTATTAGATGTATAAACTCAGTAAGAACTGATTTTTCGCCTTTCTGTTGTGTCCCTAGTAAGGCTAGCAGTGATAAACTGATATTTGATGAATAAATAAATGAATGGAAGACAGATGAATGAGAATGAATTTTAAACCTCTCTAATTTTAAATTAAACTGATTTTTTCCATTGGTTTTTGCCCCCATTCCTCTACAGGAAGCGCCAGGTTCCTGTCCTCATTAAAAAATCTGGGCCGTGCTGAGAACCAGGGTTTCAAAACCCCTGAAGCTTACCAGGAGGTCTGGCTGGTCTGATTGTTGAATAAAAGCATCTGAATACGCTTTCTCCCTTCGCGATTTTTTTTTCCTCAAATGTTTGCATGATTGGACTGGGGCTGGGGGATTTGGATAAGCATCAGAATCAACCAAGTCATACCAACACACTGATCCTGTAATTTCAGACAGTTTCTCTCACCTCTGAGCCTTTGCCTCAGAATATGTGATACTGTGTACCAAAAAATCGGGCACAGATCACGAACAACATAGCGTTAAACAGCATTTTAAACACTATTTTAAGCAATAGGTAAAATAATTCTCAGTCCAGAGACATGTTAACCAACACATTTCACTGATTCAAATAATTGTTTTCAGTTTTCTTGAGATTTAATTAAGCATCTGTTTTGCCTGGCACAGGTCTGTGTACATGACCGTAAAGCTTTTAATGTTGGGTAGAATGGAGTTTAGTCCTTGAGTTTTATTAACTTTGGGATGCAAATTTTAGGTTAGAAATGATCACAAAGATAATTTGAATCATTAAGGAAAGAAACAAATCAACCAAAAAAAGCTATACTTTCCTCAAGCATGCTGTAGGTAAGTTTTCGGAATTAGCCTGAATCCTTCACAGTAGAAGTAGTTGTCATTAGTTATTAAGGTGAACAGTAAGCAGTAAAGTAGAGCTCTAGGTTTTCCTTGGTTATCTGAGGTTTGCATTGGCAGCTTCCTGAATAAATTTGGTCTGTAGGAGAACACTGAAGGAAGACATTTTTTTTATGACTGATCCGGCCTGCAGATCAACAAGTTCAGAACTCCTGGAGGGGAAACAGGGATTAAATAAAAGACATGGGGGAGACAAAAGAGAGACGAAAGCAAGACGAAATAATCCGATCAAGCTTCCGGTTTATTCAGAAAATAATCACACCTTTTATAGGCTAAGGGCGGGAACTGGGACAGGAAGAGGTTAAACAGATGAATACAACACGATCACCATCACATCCGGATACGTGACGTAAGCAGGAGAGGATTATGGTTAATGTAGGCAGACGCAGTGCCCATAGGAGAGAGAGAGAGACATCGAGGCAGCAATGCCTGTCACTCGGCTCCTTACATATGACTCACAAAGATCACAGTCTAGGAAATGAAACGCATAGTCTTGGATCTGTTCTCTGACAATTTGCAAAATGGAAGCCATATTTGAAGGTTAAAACCTGAAAAGAGGTTACATCAGTGTTTGTCAGAATTTTTGATGGATGCTAGCAAGGAATAAGTTGCATTATTCAGCACTGGGTAAGTCTTCAGTTTCTAGAAAGTTTCTCAGAAAAGCAAGGCAGTGCTTCATATCAGCAGATTTGCAGAAAAAAGTTCTAGTGAGTGATGGGTTTGTTTGCACATTGCAGTGAGGAACAGGATCTTAAGCTGGTGTATGAACATATCTGAGATCCGCTCTGACTGATATCTCCTCACTCCATTTTGAGTGCTCTGCCTAAGATGGAGGGCTTCATCTTAAGACTCCCCTCGGACACCCGCTTCACTTCATGGGTCTGATGGGGTGCCCAGCCAACAGCAGGCTGGGCCGGTTGAAGCGGGGATTCCAAATTAACCTGAGGAGTGTGTCTTCTACCATCACATCACCCCCAAAGGAAAACAAGGACTATAAGCTAGAGGTACTGCCTGGGAGGACTTTCTTTTTTTGAGGGTTTATATGTGAGCCATAATAATCCTGTATGATTACTCTTGTTTTGTGAGGAACCCAGAAAATGAAGTCTCTGATTAATTTCAGAAGGAAGAAAAGTAGCAATGTTAGGCTTTTAATTCAGGCTGGCTTTATAATTAGTGCTGATTTTTTTTAAAGAGAAAAAAAACCAGAAAAATCAAGAAGCAAACAAATAATTTAAAAATGACAACAAAAGAAAATGAGGCTGCTTTATTGAAACCACATGGATTATTCCTTACTCTATCTTGTTTGGAACTATAGATAAGAGCCTTCTATTAAAAGGGCCTGTATTTTCATATTTAACAGTACCAAAACAAAAAGAAAGAAAGAAAGAAGCATTCAAGAAAGAAAAAAGGAACTTCAACTACTAAAAGTGGAGGGAAGGACGGATAGCAGCTTGAAATCCTTAGAAATCCCTAAAATGCAAAGGTGGCGGGTGGGCTATATAAGACTGAGGTGTAAGTGATTTCCTGACATACAGTGGTTAAAAGATTACTCAGTGAAGCAGAAATAACCAATTAAAAGATATTTCAAAGTAGGGCTTGGCGGTACACATCTGTAATCCTAGCATTCAAGTGGCCGAGGCAAGAGGATCCAGAGTTTGGAGCCCATCCTGAGTACACACAGTGATACTGTCTCAAAAAAAGAAAAGAGATTGAAGAAAAGAAAAGGCAAGAAAAGAAAAGAAAAAAGAAAAGGGCAGTTTCATGCATACGAGTCATCGCCGGCTGACACCCTGACACTTTGATTAATGTCTTGCTGATATTCACATCGACAGATTTTGAGGTTTAACTCTGACCACTAGAGGGTGCTGTTAGTCTGCCCAGTGCCTCAGTCAAACCAGAAGGGCCAGAGTTCTCACCCAAGCCAAGCTAAGCGGCGGTGCCCATGCATGATGGTTTCCGGCATCTTGGCTGAGATGCTAGAGGATGCTTAAAGAGAAGTGTGCTATAACGCAGCGACTTTAACTCACCGAATCCTACAAATCGTCATGTCTAATTGAACCATTCTGCAAAGCTCAAAAGAAGAGAAATTATAAGCAGAAGCAAGACATAACTCCAGAGGATGTGCCTTTGACACTCTGCTCTGCTGATTCTTTGTGTCCCTGTGTGGTTTTTAAATGATGATTTACAAATTAGAATGTGGTTAGAAACGGAAGATACCCAAATTGATAAGAATTTGAAACTTTTTCCTATGATGAGTGATTGAAAGAAGCAAAAAAAAAAAATTCATCAACTATAAAAGGAAAATGTTCAGAAGTTGGCAATTCTTTTCAGAGTTTAAAGGCAACAGCATGAAAACAGAAATGTCCATTTTTCATCAGTGAAAATGGGCATTTGTGTTTTAAATTAATGTCTAACATTTAGGAGGTGCTCAATTCATACTCATGTAACTGAATAAGGAGAACAGAACAACTTGAGGTTGGCTTCAGATTTTGGATTGGCTAGTTGGTTGGGATTAAAAAAATTATCTTTGGATCACTAGATATGTACAGTATAACTGCAAAAAGACTCTAACTTCGAGTACTTGGGCGTGCAACTGGCTATGTCTCTATCTCTGCACATGTCCTGGCAGAAGTCAAGAGAATTTATCAAGTTTCGATCCTTGTCACTAATATTGTGTTAGTACCTTAGTCTTATCATATAGTAAGTGCTTAGGAGTATGTTATTTGCTATTGTTATTTGTCTTGTAAACCTCTTAGCTCATTGAAATCCAACTGGCTGTCTTTTGGTATGTGGAACATTTCCATGATCAGAACATTACTTCTTTATTCATTGCATTATGAATTGACAGGAATTTTATGGTAGAGCTGCTTCCCTTGAGATAAGATTCCACTAAAATTTCAGTACTTCTATGCTTCAAAATACCTCTAAATTTATAAACAACATTTATAAAATGAAAACTCAAGAACAGTTGCTGAGAACGAATCTTGCAGATTAAGAAGGATTTTACAGGCCAGGGAGGGAAGAGAGTGGTGAGCCCAGTTCCTTGATTGAGACCCTCTCCATCAGTAAAGGTAAAAGGTAAAAAGTAAAGGACTGAACTCCTTATTAAATGCAGTAACACAGAACTACATGACATAGTTACAGGATCGGTAAATTTCTGCACAATTTCCTTTATTTGTTTGAGAGTATTTAAAATATGGAGCTATCTGCAAGGACTAAGACATAAAATGTCTGTGAACTTGTTTTGAAAGTAAATGTTTTTCTTTTAAAACATAAATGACACTGAACTTCCTGAGAAAAAGGAGCATGAAAATATCAAATATTTATTTCTAGTTTTCTGAACCGATTTATTCCCTAAAAGTCTAGCTTATTCCAACTATGTAGAAATAAAATTTTATTTGCGTAGAAAGGAAGCAATTAAATAAAAACAACCAAGGCTCTCACTAGTCCAATCCCTGGGACTGCCAAAAATTTCCTTGGTTTTCTTTCATTGCTCAAATCGTACTCAGTTTTTAGCTAAAAATATAGAATATGGAAATAATAAAACAGTGTTCACAAAATTGGAATAGTATATGCATCTTTTACTTTTAAACTAGTTAAAAATTACTAAAAATCCAGCATAAGTAAAATAGAATAAAAAGCCTGGTTGGAGACCTTGCCAAAAAACTCTGTACTTCAGTGAAATGCTACTGTAGTTGTGTGTCTTACAGACATCTTAAAAATAAATAGAAAGGGAGGCCATAGTTGAGATACCCCAGAGCTGGCGGTTAGGTAAATTTAAAAACTTTAGCCCTAAACAAAACATTACTTTACTTGTTCTTTCTTAGTAATTAAGTTTATTGGTACAGTTTAGACATGCATGATGATCACATTCATCACAGGGAATTTGTGCCTGTACATTGTAAATCTTAGTTTTTTTCTTGTTCTATCAACATGACCTATATAAATTAAGACAGGCAGCTACAGATAAATCAGTTTAATGTTGTTTGCCTTCCAAAGGTCTATATGGCCGCCAATCATGAGCAAGCCAAGGACTCTGGTGCTCCTCTGTGGTCTATAAATTGTGCTGTATGTGTTATGGAACTGATATTTTCTCTGTTCTTCAGTTTGAGGTTTTTCAATTCATGAACTATTCTCTTTGTATTCTCAATAAACTTTTAAAACTCTTAAAACTTTTGACAGATAGTAATAGATCATTTATTCTACTTATATGTGTAGTAGTCATTAACAATTTCTGTAAAATAAATAGTTGTGCATCTTGGTTTCATTTTATTCCTTGTTGAAGATCAAAAGGAAGAAGATAAAATTGAGGCTTAATAGTATCAAGAGGAAGAGCTGTGTTAGAAATATAAGAGTGAACATGAGGCAAAAACTGCTTTAGCCCGGGAAGCCCTAAAATTCTTTTTTTTA